ACATGTCACGTGTTTTATGTCACGTCTTATGTTATGTTTCATGTCTCAAGTTCCATGTTTCATGTTGTTTCAATGTCTCGTGTCTCATGTCTTGAGTTTAATGTCTCATGTTACATGTTACATGTCACGTGTTTCATTTCTTGTGTCTCATGTCTTATGTTTCATGTCTCATGTCTTGTGTATCATATCTCGTGTTACATGTCTTGTATTTCATGTCTCATGTCACATGTCTCATGTGTTATGTTTCAAGTCTTGTGCTTCATGTCTCGTGTTATGTCACCTTTTTGATGTCGCGTGATTCATGTCTTGTATCTCGTGTTTCATGTTTCGCATTTCCTGTCATGTCTTATGTTTCATGTCTCGTGTGTGATGTCTCATGTTTCGTGTCTCATGTCATGTTTTATGTTTCATGTCGGTCCTATGTCTCCTTTCTCATGTTTCATGTCTCGTGTGTCATGTTTTATGTCTCATGTCTAGTGTTTCATGTCTCATTTTCTGCGTCTCATGTCTTGTCTGAAGTCTTGCCTTTCATGTTTGGTGTCTAATGTCTCATGTTACATGTCTCGTCTCATGTTTCATGTCTTGTGTTACATGTCTTGTGTCTGAATTACAACATCAGGGGTGTCTGAATAATCATATCAGGGGTGACTAGTAATCCCATCAAGGATGTTTGAATAATCCAATCAGGGGTGATTGAATAATCCCATCAGGGATGTCTGAATAATCCCATCAGGTCTGTCTGAATAATCCCATCAGGGGTGACTGAATAATCCCATCAGGGGTGACTGAAAAATCCCATCAGGAGTGTCTGAATAATCCCATCAGGGGTGATTAAATAATCCCATCAGGGGTGACTGAATAATCCCATCAGGGGTGACTGAATAATCCCATCAGGGATGCCTGAATAATCCCATCAGGTCTGTTTGAATAATCCCATCAGGGGTGATTGAATAATCCCATCAGGTCTGTCTGAATAATCCCATCAGGGGTGATTGAATAATCCCATCAGGTCTGTCTGAATAATCCCATCAGGGGTGATTGAATAATCCCATCAGGTCTGTCTGAATAATCCCATCAGGGGTGATTGAATAATCCCATCAGGTCTGTCTGAATAATCCCATCAGGGGTGATTGAATAATCCCATCAGGTCTGTCTGAATAATCCCATCAGGGGTGATTGAATAATCCCATCAGGTCTGTCTGAATAATCCCATCAGGGGTGATTGAATAATCCCATCAGGTCTGTATGAATAATCCCATCAGGGGTGATTGAATAATCCCATCAGGGGTGTCTGAATAATCCCATCAGGGGTGATTGAATAATCCCATCAGGGGTGACTGAATAATCCCAGCTCGTTGACTCACTACGATGAAACATGGTGAACTGATTTCTAAAGGCTCTTCATCACCTTCCTGTTTGTTTGAGAATTCATTTAATTTATGAAGCTTTTATTTAATTATTTGGTATCAAGCCTAACTTCTTGTTTTTTTTTCTTTTTTTTGGTTGGAATGTGAACCTTCTTTTTTTAATTAATTTTCAAAATAAAATATTTTGAAGACATACAGAACATACAGAATAAAGTAACAAACAAAATAACAAAAACACCCCCCACCCCCCCCCCCCCCCCCCCCCCTTCCTCCAGACCGTGCCATGTGATACGTTAACATGATTACACACTAATGTGTTCAGCTTAAAGGATTACATGTGTTACATTATCAAGATGATTCACACTTCACAATCAACCTTACATTTACCATTAGAATGAAGCATGCCTCAACAAAGGGAGGCTTCAATCTGTGGGACTGCATTTAATAGAAGTCCCCATGTATTGAGGAAATGCTCTGGTTTACCCTTCACATTATACGTGATTTTTTCTGGGGTACAATATGAGGTAAGTTCATTCCACCAATGTTTCATCGCCGATGGTGATGCAGACTTCCAATTCACCATCATGCATTTTTTTGCTGCAGTCAATGCTAACATAATGACATTTTTTTCCATGAGCTGTAAATTTATTTAATCTGTTTAAATTCCCAAGAATAGCTACCAGGGGGTCTGGTTTGAGTATCTTTTGGAGAATCTTAGATATATTATTTTGAACATCTTGCCAAAATAGTTTAAGATCGTTACAGTCCCATAACATATGGTATAGGTCACCTTCCCTGGTAGTGCATCTTGGGCAAGATGATGAATTTAATTGGTACATCTGTTTTAGTCTATGAGGAGTATAGTAAGTGTGATGCAGGATGTTGAACTGGATGAGTCTGTGCTTTGTGCTGGAAAAAAAAAGTCTGTGAATTTCTTAAAATTGTTTCCCATTCTGAGTCCGTATAATTAGCATTCAAGTCCTTTCCCCATTTGTACTTATATTTCAAGTGTTCCCGATCCAAACAATTATTAATACATTTATAAAGTTTTGAGATCAGTCCAGTTAGTGAGTCAGAAATATCAATTATTTTTCCCAAGGGTGTGTCTCCAATTCTAAAGTAGTCATCACACAGTTTCTTATTTGTAAATATTTAAATAAATGTGAAGAAGGTAAATGATATTGATTATGAATATCTGAGAATTCACTGACTAGACCGTCTTTACAGAGATCACCAAGACTTGAATGCCACTGTCTTGCCATATATTAGATATTCTATCAGACATGAACTCTTGCAGAGGAAAGTTATTCCACAGGGGTGTCCTTACAAAGAGCATGTTTTTTATGCCTATGAGGTTATGGCATTTCTGCCAGCACTCATAAGTGTGGCTAATTATTGGGATGGATGTAATTTCTCCCACTTGGGTTCCGATATAAGGAAGAGACTCTAAAGGTATATATTTTACAAGGTGTCGTTCTATGTCCAACCATGACGCCGTTTGAGTCTTTTCATGGGACCAGTACCATACAGCTCTGAGTTGAGAGGTCAGATAGTATAATTTAAGGTCTGGCAAATTTAGTCCTCCTTTATTGATTGAAGCTTTCAAATTGAACATTTTGATTCCCACGTTTGTGTGACCATATAAATTTTGATAATACGTGATTAATTTCAGTAAACAATTTATTAGGGTATTTCAGAGGTATAGATTGAAATAAGTAAATAAATTTTGGCAACACATTCATTTAAATAATGTTGACTCTTCCTCTTAGAGATAGAGGCAGATTCTTCCATCTCTGCAAATCTTTCTTGAGTATTTCTATGAGTGGGTGGTAATATCAACTTATGAATACAGTTAAGGTTCTTAGATACACACACACACCTAGGTATTTAAAGCCCTCTGGATTCCATCTAAACCTTGATACCAGGTCAGGAAGACCTAAATTAACAAATCATCTGCATAAAGTGACAGTTTGCACTCTATCTCTCCTATTTGAATTCCTCTAATTTTGGGGTTTGAGCGAATGGCCAATAGCTATAGCAAACAGCAGGGGGGATAGTGGACATCCCTGTCTTGTGCCTCTCTTAAGGTTGAAAGGTCTAGATAAGACATCATTTGTGGCAATGTGAGCCTTGGGGGCTTTATAAAATGTTACCCTAACCCATAATTTATAAACTTACTCCCAAAATTCGCTTCTCTCATGGTCTGAAATAGAAAGGGCCATTCGATCCTGTCAAATGCCTTCTCTGCATCCATTGAGACCAGTCTATCCTCTGAGGTAAGTGAGGAGTCATGAATAAGGTGGAGTAGTTTACGGAGGACTGGTGATGACTGTCTCCAGTCTCAGTGCCAGCAATTCTGACAGCACTTTAAATTACACATTGAGCAGAGAGAGGGGTCTGTATGAGCTACACTGCTGTTCATCCTTGCCCGGTTTTAAAAAGACGTTAATAGTAGCCAGTTCCAGAGAGTGGAGAAGTTTACCAATTTCCAGCGATTCTTTAAGGATGTCTGTAAGTGGTTCCACCAATATAGGCAGAAACTTTTTAAAGAATTCAGCTGGAAATCCGTCTGGTCCTGGTGCTTTCCCTATTTGTAGCTTGTTTACAGCTTGAATGACTTCATCCTTTGTGATTTCTGCATCAAGCTGCCAGCTGTTTTTGTCACTTAACTTAGGGACTGGGCTCTTATCAAAGAATGGTCTGATATGTAAGGAATCTATGTCACTTTGTGATTTATAAAGGTCATGATAAAATTCTTCAAAACACTTGATGTCAATACGGTCTGAGATAACCTCCCCCTCTTTATTCTTTATGTTATGTATAACTCTTGCATTCTCTTCTTTTCTGATTTGCCAGCTAAGCATTTTCCCAGTTTTCTCCCCCTTTTCGTAATAATGATATCTGGTTACCTAATTTGTATTTTTGATGTGTGTTTGAATCTTATTTATTTTATTCTTCATCTGTATTTTCTCATTATTATCATTATTGACATCAGGTCATGTGTCTGTGACGTCCTGTCACAAGTTTAAATTAAAACTTTATTAATGTTACAGACTGACAGCTGTTTACAGGTGTTTTCAGATGTTTTCAGCTGTTTACAGATGTTTTCAGCTGTTGACAGGTGTTTTCAGATGTTGAGAGCCGTGTCTCTGTTTCAGCAGCAGGTTCAGATCTCTCTAATGAAAACAAAAATTATTGAATATTGAAACATCAGTGAAACATGGCCTCAGTTTATCTATATTTGTCTGTATAGCACCTCCAGGCCTCCGTACAGTTGGTGTGTGTCAGACTGTGAACTAACGGCACCTCCTGCCGGTCAAACTCTAAAGTTCATCTGTTTGATGGGAACAAACTCAGACCTCTGACCTTTGACCTGAAACTGACTGTCTGACGTCTGGACTGATTTAACCTGGTTTCAGACATGACGACAGGTCAACAGCTGAAACTCTCCTGACAGATGATGCTCTTTCTTTAAAGTCACGTTTGTTGTTGATCTGGAAACTGTCACACGTTAAGATAAACTCGGCTCAGCTCTGCGGGGAGATCTGACCGTCAGGTGAGCAGGTGAGCACCGCCCGACACACTCACCTGTTCATAACCTTTACTCTGTCTCACAGTTGAAACACAGACAGGAAACATCCAAACATTTTATTTATTAACTTCACAACAGATTCAGGTGTTCACATGATGATGAAGATGATGATGATGATGAGAGCACTGAGACGACAACACTGAAACTCTAAAACATCAACATGCAGCTTCACCGACAGACGAACGACATCAAACTGACACTGTACTTATCTAAAAACACTGATCTCAGCTTTTATTCTGAAAACCACAGCTTCCTGTAAAGCTGAGGTTAGAGGTCACAGGGTCAACATTTAACAAAATAAAATAACACTTTTATTTTATTATGAATTCATGACCTGTTCCAGTTTTTACCTTTAATTATTCTCTGCTAACGATTCGTGTCATCCTGAATTTAATCTGTTTATTTTCAATGTCACGTCTACTTCCTGCTTTACAAAATAAAACCATGAAAAGCTAAAAATTTTCAGAATCCACTAATTAATGAACGTATTAATGAATGCACTAATTAATTAATGTATTGATGAATCCGCTAATCAATGAACGTATTATTCAATCTGCTAATTAATGAATGTATTAATGAATCCGCTAATTAATGAACGTATTAATGAATCCACCAATTAATGAACATATTAATGAATCCACCAATTAATGAACGTATTAATGAATCCACCAATTAATGAACGTATTAATGAATCCGCTAATTAATGAACATATTAATGAATCCACCAATTAATGAACGTATTAATGAATCCGCTAATTAATTAACATATTAATGAATCCACCAATTAATGAACGTATTAATGAATCCGCTAATTAATGAACTTATAAATGATTCCACTAATTAATGAACGTATTAATGAATCCACTAATTGATGAACGTATTAATGAATCCACTAGTCAATGAATGTATTAATTAACCCACTAATTAATGAATATATTAATGAATCCACTAATCAATGAACGTATTAATGAATCCGCTAATTAATGAACGTATTAATGAATCTGCTTTTTAATGAACTTATTAATGAATCCGCTAATTAATGAACGTATTAATGAATCCACTTATTGCTGAACGTATTAATGAATCCACTAATTAATGAACATATTAATGAATCCGCTAATTAATGAACTTATAAATGAATCCACTAATTAATGAAGGTATTAATTATCTATTGATCGTTTCAGCTCCGGAGTCGACGACCCTTCAGAATAAAAGCCTCTTCCTTTAAACACATGAACACTGACTCATCTCATTCTGACATTTATCACTTGTTAATTTAATGTTTACATGTAAACAAAGGTCAGTTTATTATTAAACAATAAATAAACATCAATAACATTCATGTTTTCATGTCGCTCAGAAAGTTTGTCATTACATCGAATTTTTCTCTCTGATCATTAATTAATTGAGGGCTGTTTTTAATTCTAATGTTGATTAATCTGTTTCTATGGAAACTACAAACATCACAACATCAACATGCAGCAGCTTCGACTGTCAATAAAGTTTCTACCAAACTTTAACTTCTACTATGACTACGACCGATGGCGGCTACACCACCGCTACGCTAAACACTACAACTACAACCATGACTCCACCAGCAGAAGCTCCGCCTCCTTCAACTCCTGACCACTTAACACTACGACCACGACTCCACCAGCAGAAGCTCCGCCCTCATCAACGTTTAGCACGTCATCCCATTTTAAAATCCAAAATATTCAAATTTCAGTTGATTAACTTTAATATTTGACGTCTGAAGCTTTCAAAGTGATGTCACAACTCGTCAACATTGTCAGATGTTTCTACAACTCATTAAACGTTGTCTCGCCTCATCAGGAGTTCAGAGGTTTAAAGGTCGACCTCCAGGCTCCTGATTTGCTGAGAGGGTCGAGAGGCCGCTCCTGGTGGACCGTCAGTGCTCTCTAACTCTTCACGGGTTACAATGAGGTGACAGGATGAGGTGACAGGGTGTGGTCACAGGATTATGTCACAGGATGCTCTCCCGCTCCTCGCCGAAGGTGACGGTTTCGGAGGACACAGTGCAGATCTCCGGTGGGTCTCCGGGCTTCAGGCCCCTCTTAAGGTGAACCACTCGGACATTTTCATTGTTAGGCCCCGGTCTGGTGGCGGTGGCGGTGGTGGTGCCAGAGGAACTCGGGGAGAGGATGACATCACTGGAGGAGGAGGAGGCAGGGTCTGAGGAGGAGCCCTCTGCGGGCAGGCGGGGGCGGTTGCCCTGCTGGGCGTTGGTGTTGTTGTTGAGCGTGACGTTGCTTGGCGTGCGGTTCAAGTTGAAGGACTTGGAGGATGGCCAGCTCTCCTCGGGGCTGCTGGCGAGCAGGCTGCACTGGTCCTCGGAGCAGATGGACATACGTGCGACGGCGGGGTCCTGGAGGCCGCTGAGGCTGCTGGGAAGGCCTCTCTTCCTGGCCAGACTCTCCTCGTCCAGCTCGATCAGGTTGGCCCGCTCCAGCTGTGACAGGTCCGCCTCCTCGTCCTGCAGAGAGTGGTTGGGTGAGCTCTCGTTGGATCGCACGCCCGAGTCCGACGAGTCTTTCTTGTCCAGCATGGCATCCGACAGGTAGTCCTTCCCCTTCAGTGCCAGCGAGCCGCCAGGCAGTTTAGGGTCGACCACCTTCTTGCCGTCTTTGAGCAGAGGAGCGTTATCGGACTCCTCGGACTCCTCGTCGTCACTAGTCAGCTTCTGGTAGCGCAGCCCACCGCCGGCCTTCAGCTTCAGGTCGGCGGCTCCCTGGAACAGCCCTCCTCTTTCTGCCGAGGTCTTACGGGTCAGCAGGAACTTAGAGGACCCGTGGTCACCCTTCTCGTCCTCCTCTGTGATGGGGTCCAGACCGTCGCCATTGGAGGTGAAGTCAGCGTTGTCTGCTGCTGGTTTGCCTGCACTCCGCTTGTTAAAGGATTTTCTTCCGTCTTGCTCGCCGCCATCTTTGCTCTTGTCCTCTGATGATGATGTCATGAACTGACCTGGCTGCGGTTGGACGGGGCGCTCTCCGCCGCCCATCTCCACCTGCGCCATCTGGGCAATGTACTCCTGGTAGGCGTTGCGGTACTCAGCCTGCTGCTTGTCGGTCAGCTTAGAGATGTCGTTGGACGACTCCTGGGAGTTTAGGCTGGTCATGCTGGCAGTACGGTGAGCGCCACCCTGAGGAGAGACACCACAGAAGAAGAGTTAGGTCATGGTCTGACTGAATGAGGTCGTCCAGCTGTCGGAGACATTTACCATCCACTGCATGTTCCCGTGTCTCTGAGCCTCGTCCAGTCCCACAGTGCTCAGCTCCTCGAAGCTCAGGTTGAAGCTGTACATTGGAGAACCGTCTGCGTTGGCGGCGCCAGCGTGGGGCAGAGCCACAGCTCGCCTCCCCGTCTCGGTGTGGCCGCCCACAAGGCTGCCTTGCTCACTGGCAGCTTCCTCATGCAGCACCTGACTCTCTATGTGGCGCATGTCCAGAACCTGCAGGAGGAGACGACAGGAAGGAGAGTTAACATGGTCAGTGTGTTAATGAGCTGTCTGTAATAATCTGAGGTCAGTGTGTTAATGAGCTGTCTGTAATAATCTGAGGACAGTGTGTTAATGAGCTGTCTGTAATAATCTGAGGACAGTGTGTTAATGAGCTGTCTGTAATAATCTGAGGTCAGTGTGTTAATGAGCTGTCTGTAATAATCTGAGGTCAGTGTGTTAATGAGCTGTCTGTAATAATCTGAGGACAGTGTGTTAATGAGCTGTCTGTAATAATCTGAGGACAGTGTGTTAATGAGCTGTCTGTAATAATCTGAGGTCAGTGTGTTAACCAGCTGTCTGTAATAATCTGAGGACAGTGTGTTAATGAGCTGTCTGTAATAATCTGAGGACAGTGTGTTAACCAGCTGTCTGTAATAATCTGAGGACAGTGTGTTAACCAGCTGTCTGTAATAATCTGAGGACAGTGTGTTAATGAGCTGTCTGTAATAATCTGAGGACAGTGTGTTAACCAGCTGTCTGTAATAATCTGAGGACAGTGTGTTAATGAGCTGTCTGTAATAATCTGAGGACAGTGTGTTAATGAGCTGTCTGTAATAATCTGAGGACAGTGTGTTAACCAGCTGTCTGTAATAATCTGAGGACAGTGTGTTAATGAGCTGTCTGTAATAATCTGAGGACAGTGTGTTAACCAGCTGTCTGTAATAATCTGAGGACAGTGTGTTAATGAGCTGTCTGTAATAATCTGAGGACAGTGTGTTAACCAGCTGTCTGTAATAATCTGAGGACAGTGTGTTAATGAGCTGTCTGTAATAATCTGAGGACAGTGTGTTAACCAGCTGTCTGTAATAATCTGAGGACAGTGTGTTAATGAGCTGTCTGTAATAATCTGAGGACAGTGTGTTAACCAGCTGTCTGTAATAATCTGAGGACAGTGTGTTAATGAGCTGTCTGTAATAATCTGAGGACAGTGTGTTAACCAGCTGTCTGTAATAATCTGAGGACAGTGTGTTAATGAGCTGTCTGTAATAATCTGAGGACAGTGTGTTAACCAGCTGTCTGTAATAATCTGAGGACAGTGTGTTAATGAACTGTCTGTAATAATCTGAGGACAGTGTGTTAACCAGCTGTCTGTAATAATCTGAGGACAGTGTGTTAATGAGCTGTCTGTAATAATCTGAGGACAGTGTGTTAACCAGCTGTCTGTAATAATCTGAGGACAGTGTGTTAACCAGCTGTCTGTAATAATCTGAGGACAGTGTGTTAATGAGCTGTATGGCGTTCAGTGTCTGATGATGTCATCTCACGGTGGCTCTGAAGAGCTGCCAGTCTCCAAAGTTCATGCTCATCTCCTTCTTCAGCTCGTCGATGTTACACTGAGACAAAACTCTGCCGTTGACGTTGGCCTGGAAACAACCCGATCATTAATCTGACAAGTAAAAACACGGAGGCTCATTTAACCCTTTCCTTCCTCTCACAGACACAAACCTTCCTGATGGTGGCGCTGTACTGTCCCATCATGCTCTGGTCGATGCCTTCGATCTGCCGCACGCGCTCACACACGGCCTCTGTTGTCATGGAGCTGAGGAGGATGGCCGGAGTGCCCGACACCACGGAGGCTGAACCCTGTACATAAACACACACAGGTCTGATTCCCACACAGTACCATGTTCAAACACATGATCACAACCAGGGATGTCAGCGTTGTTAGTCTGTTAACATCTGAGGACCAAGTGGCTAAATTAGCATTGTTAACTACTGTTAGCACTGTTAGCACAATGAGCAGTGTCAGCATGGATAGTGGTGCTAACGTAGTTAACAATGCTAAACTGGGTTTATGGCTCAAAATAAAGCTGCTTAACCACCGAGGCGACCCTGGGGGAGAGCGGAGGGGGAGCACCATGTTTCTGCAGTAACATCGTCGCTCCATATATTACTAACAGTAATCATGAATGGGCAGCGCAGTTAGCTAACTTCCACCCAACCTGGTTGGTGCACAATGCAGAGCGGACAGGGCTAACGTTAGCTAACCAGTGGAGAGCAGAGGGTGGACAGTGGGCGCCATGTGTCTATATCTTAACACAGCTGTCCCTCCATTTGTCCATCTGTCTGCCTGTGTGTGTGTCTGTCTGTCAGCAGTCGACAGAAAAAAATTAAACATTAAAGTGTTGACCTGTGGAGCTTAAGACTCACTGAGTCACTGCAACAGCGAACTATTATAATTAAGCCATAACAACCTGTTTGAACAAGTTCAGAACACTGAGACAGCTCTGGTAAAAATCACTAACCATCTCCTAATGGCAGCTGACTCTGGGCTTTTAACTATTCTCATTATTCTGGATCTCAGAGTAGCCTTTGACACCATTTCACATAACATTCTCCTAGAAAGATTAGCTACCATTGCTATCACTGGCACTGCTCTAAATTGGTTTAAGTCAATCTCTCAGGCCGCACTCATTTTGTTCAAATCAGCAATTTCAGATCCATCTCTTTCCCAGTTACTAGTGATGTTCCTCAGGGCTCTGTCCTATGTACACTCATATTTATCATTTACCTTGTACCTTTTGACCATATCTTTAGAAAATTTGGTATTCAATTACACTGTTATGCTGATGACACCCAGCTCTGAATTGTTTGTTTTATGATCTATGGATACATTGCTACTTTTTTTTGTTCTGTGTCTTGTAAGGTGTCCCTGAGTGTCCTGAAAGGCACCTATAAATAAAATGCATTATTATTCTTATAATTATTAAAACTGAACATGTTCGTCAGCAGTCGATGGCAGAGGGGCTAATGAATGAAACTGACATCCCTGATTATAACATGTGAACACTTTAAAGTGAAGACTGAAGCTGTCTGGATGTGAAAAAGGACACACAGGAAGTCTGAACTACAGAGACGTTAGAGATGTTTCTACGTTTATCTGAAGTTATTATCATCTGATTTACAACACACATCAGATCACAGCAGTCTGAAACAGTCAGTTTACACCTCAGTCATATCGCCTCACCTCTCCTCAGTCACCTCTCCTCACCTCTCCTGAGTCACCTCTCCTCACCTCTCCACAGTCACCTCTCCTCACCTCCCCACAGTCACCTCTCCTCACCTCTGCTCAGTCACCTCTCCTCACCTTTCCTCAGTCACCTCTCCTCTCCTCAGTTACCTCTCCTCTCCTTTCCTCTCCTCTCCTCAGTCACCTCTCCTCACCTCTCCACAGTCACCTCTCCTCTCTTCTCCTCAGTCACCTCTCCTCACCTTTCCT